ATAGTGTTACCTCAGTATAGTTGTTAGATATTTTCAAAAAATAAACATGTTTTTTCATCTTTTCAGGTCATTGAGGACGAACTGAGCGCAAGGAAGAGGGAGCAGGAAGCATTCTTCAAGATGAAAGAGAGCATAGACTATTCAAACCTGAGCTCGCCCAACAAACACTCCAAATTTGTGCCTTACGTGGACTCCTCTACATCATAATCAGAGATGTACGTGTTGCATCTTCCTACTTGCAACAGACAGACACCTGCTGCCTCAGTTTCTATTTGCTTTATTTACAAAAACAAAATATTATTTTCTTATTTGCTGTTGTGAATATTTATGTTTTAACCCAAGTTTTATTTTGTTCTTCTTTTACCAAACAGTAATATTTGCAGCTAAAACAATGCTCAACATGCCAAATCATTATTTTTAAAGGGTGAATATTAAGAAAAAAAAGATCATAGTTGCTTTTACCAGCCAGGCAAGTTTGCATAAGAAGCAGCAGTAAAGTACTGGTAAACTAGTAATAAAGTTTTTTCTTGATTAAATATGATTGTAAATGCTTCCCAAATAGTTTCCCGTTATTCTTTACTTGTTATAACCATTAACTTTTAAATTTCTGACGCAGCTGCCAAAACCTTATTTATGTATTGCTTATAGAAATCATTAACTTGATTGTAAATTGGATTTTTAAATGTTTTTTTCTGTTTATCAACCATCATATGAAGGACGGCTTTAAATAATTTTATTTTCTTTAACGGGATGTGAGGTAAATTCCAAACTAATTTGGTGAAATTTTTCTTTTTCTTATAAAGTTATTTAGAAGCTCAATTTTACTAAACAAGGGAAGACTAGATGTTGCGCACTCATTTATTTTTATTTACTGTATAATTAGTTACACTGGACAGGAACTGACTATGCCAAAGTAAATACTGTGTTTGTTTTGTTGTATGGGTGATTTAAATGTGTTAAGTGTGCAATTGTACCATCACAGGTAATGAACTGCTTCTAACCAATGTGCAATACTGTATGGGTGTCTCTGCTAAGCTCAGAGTGGTTCTTTTCTGTTTGTTTTTTTTAGTTTTTTTTTTTACTTTGCCTTTCTTCGCACTAAGAGGGGGAATAATATAAAAAGTTTAATTACTGAAATATATTTACTTGCTTTTCACGAAAGATAAGAAATATAAAATATATATATAGGTTTCTCAGTTTACATTATGGCAGGGGTTGTGAGTATAAATGAAATCTGTATGAAAGAAACCACTGGTGTAAATAACTTAATAAAATACTTTTTAAAAAAAGCATTATTTCTGTTCAATTCAAAGCATAATGTAAATGAAAACCAATTCCTCATTTATTTAAATAGAATAATAATAAAAAAAATCTCTTTATTGTCCCACAATGGGAAAATTGTGAAAAAATCATACTTGATGTAACTAAAGTTCTGAAATGATCTTCTCTAATAAAAGAATACAAGCACCTTTTTTTGAAACTGATATAAAAAAGAAAAAAAAGCAAGCAATACCGTAAAGACATTACATTTATTATAGTTTTACGGGGGTTTTTTTGTTTGTTTTTTTAGCTATGCTGACCAATCAAAGCCAGATTTAACCAACTGCACACATACACTGATCAGTTGGCATATCAGGGGTTAAAAACCTTGCCAAGAGACAAAGCACACATGGCAGAAATAATCAAACTGGTAACCTTGGGGAGACAATTTATTCAACTGAACCACAGTTAAGTGGAAGAATAAAAGAAAAAAACACAACCCTGGTTAAAAAAGATTTTATTGACTTAAAAGCAAGTAGAGATTGTTTAATATTGAATACATAAAAAAAAGGAAGAATGACAATACTGAAAAAAGGGAGATCATAAATGTGCATAATACACTTCTTTTTTTTCCACATAACATACCTGAATAAGCCATTATAGGTATATTTAAAAATGTATTTTTGGATGACAGGCCGTTGGTGCTGTGATATGGCTTGTGTTTTGTGAAACGTTTCAGCAACTAGAAGCAGAACAGCGTTAGTGTTACAGCTTGTAGCCTCGTCTATATTCATCACCGTTCATCAGGTTGCGTGACAGAAAAAAGTACATTTGTTTTTATTTTAACAAATAAACAATAAATTTTATATTTAACATTAAAGCACATTTCATATTAACTCCTAACACAGAAGAAATACCTAAAAGATGGACTGTTTGACTTTTCACTGTACAATAAAAATAATTTGCTCTGCTGAATATCACTTGAAACCAGTCAAGCGTTAATCTAAAATGTTGTTTATACAATGGTCATTGCTTTATTTGAGCACCCAACATGAGTTAGGAAAGGCCTGTACACTTACAATACAGTAAAATGTTGCACAAATCTATTTGAAGCTTTCTTTTCAAAATATTCTGCTATTCAGATTTCCCAACAGTTTAGTTGTGTTAAAAGTTCTTTAACACAAAGCTTCCTTTCCTCTGCTTACCCTGGGATAGCTTCTTACTGATGATAGGATTAACCATTTTTCCAACAGTTAGCTAAACTATAGCTAGAGCAAAATAATTCATAAACGTTAAAATAAACAGCTGCATTCCTCTCTTTGCACAAAGATTGTAACATTAGAACAAGCTTCACCTGTACTGAGTGAAAAGTGCACATCAGTTCCAAATGACAGCAATGGTCAACGATAAGGCAAAAGGACAGAGTTAATAAAGGTGCATCTTAATAAACTGCAATAGCTCTTTCATTTTAGTAAATTAACTGAAAAGCATAACTCATATGGATTTATAACACAACGCATTTTATTTTAATTCAGATGCAATGTATTTTTGAAATTTAAACCTCATGGTGTATAGATGATGAAAACACAGGCGTTCAGAAAATTAGGATATCAAAAGGATTTTTTTTCAGAAATGTCATCCTTATTAATATGTGTCCATCAGGGCTGCAACTAACAATTATTTTGTAAATTAATTCATCAGTCAATAATTTTTTCAATGTATCAATTAATAATCGGATAGCCAAAGTTTTCTTAAAGAAGATTTCTTATGAAATTAAAGCAGGTAAAACTAAAAATTTTTTGCTTGAGGAGTTCTGGATAGAGCATATCGACAGACATTTTTTTTTTTTATCTTAAATGCAAAATATTTCTTGAATTATTGTACAATGTTGAAACAATGAAATTACCTAAGTAGGTCACTCTGTCAGCTAAAAGCATATTTAAAGTTAACGATTAATCAATTACTAAATTAGTTGAGGATTATTTCAATAATCAATTAATGCAAATAATTGTTTCAGCCCTATTGTCCATTTCTCTACAGACTATGCATTCAGTACTTGCGGGAGGCCGAGGCTCTACTATTTTCCTCAAAATGGCTGTACTCACTTTACACTTGACAATCCATGATGTACCAACACTAGCATCAAATGCACCTTGGATCACACACCTCTCCTGTCTACCTTCATTCTTTTGGACCTTTATTTCCTAAAGATATTCAACATGGACCTCCCACTCTCTTATGGTCTTTGATTCCATTATGGCTTAACACAAGAGTGCAACTCTTTGCCAGCAAACATCTGTGCACGGTGGCTTTTAAAGCACTGGCTCCAGATGTTAGGCTTCTGAATATCCACATAAACTCTTAAGTAGGCTTTACTTTGAAGCCTGGAGTTATCCTTGCTGCTTCTTCTACCAAACCCTTTCCTTCAACTCAACTCTCCACTAAAAACCTTGAATACAATACTCTGCACAACCGTTTTTTTTTGGATGTCTTTCTTGCTTTTTTGTTTTTTTTTTTTTTACCTTGGACATTATTGTGTAAGATATAAGGGAATGAATTTATATTGAGTTTTCCTATTAAATGTACATTATAGAAACAAAATAAACATTTAGTTTAGAATTTAATTTATTGGGATGCACCAGAATCAAAGCTTTGAGCATTACAGACAACATTAAAGGATTAATAAGTAATGATGACACCTGGTGTTTCAAACCAGAACAACACATGGTGTGCCATGGAGGTGGCCAAATCAAGAGACATGCTTTTCAGAGATGAAGATTCAAGACCATTCAGCCACACTAAGTTGTTGTGCTAATACTTTTGCAGGATTCTGAGGCTTCTTAGATATTGCTGTGACTATTTCTGGTCATCTTCTCTTGTTGGCTTCCATGTTTGCTGTTGCTTTTTTTTTTTTTTTTTACTAACTTTGAATGCCAAATGCTACCCTTTGTTTTGGGAACCCTGGGAACTGTTATATGATTGACTCAGGGAGCAAGAAGTAAACATTGCCTACACACTGCACAGGAGTAGTTCCGGTAAGTACCTCTAGGTTTGGAAAGACAAAAAACTCCACTAAGAAGTTTCTGATGGAGAGAACCAATTGTTTATAGGGAATGTTACTGTCCTCCTGGCTGAAAAGTTAGAATGACTTTGGTTGTTTTTAAAATCAATTGCTTCCTTATTGCTCCTTTAATACAAAAAGAATATTTATTCAAAAGAAAAAAAGTAACCTTAAGTGAAAACTAAGATAAAATTAGTTAATGTAGTCTTTAAATTACTGTAGATTTGTTGTTACCTTCCAACATATGAACTGACAAGATAAGAACACTTGCTATAAGGATGCTTTACCTGAAGATATTTCTATCAGCTGATTCATTTTAAAAGGACTAAGCCCACGGCAGAATATACTTTTGTAAGCACTAAAGCCCATATTTTGCAACTTTTTGCGGCATTGTATCCTTAATAGCATGGGTGCTACGGCACGTTTAGCACTGTAATCTGGGCTAAACATCCTCCCTACAGCAACACGAAATGGAGGCTGTGACTTGCACAAAGCCACTAAAGCGAAGTATACGTTCTTACAATATCTAGATAAAAACAATAATACGTAAACATTATGAAATTGCCACAAAAAAAAGGTCAAGTTATTGCTGAGTCGTTTGGCTAGGTATTTTTGACAAGGTGTAACAAAAATATCAGAAAAAAAAAATCACCCATAAATAAAACATTTTGATGCCACATTTTTTTCATTTATAACCTTTGTCTATTATTTGTTCACTTCCGATTGTATTTTTAATGAACTATATGACCTAAGGTTTCTTGCTCAGGTAGTTTGAGGGAATCCAGCCCTCAATATTTTCTCCTACATATTTACAGAACCACCAACCACTGCTGTTTTTCTCAAGTACCTCAAACACAGTACCCACCTTGAAGCGGGATGTTTGCTCATCCCCTTCGAAATCTGCCACGGCTAAATACAACTCATCGCTACTTGGCTCCTTGAGTAAAGGTGGCAGCTTGTCTTTAGGTGGTCCGGGCTTTTCTGGCTTCATTTGGGGTTTGGGAGGAATTGGAACTTTAGTGCTCTTGGGCTCATCTTTTTCTTTGTTTATAGGTGGCTGGACAAATGCTTTGGGTTTGGGGGGAGGGGGTCTGCTGAGTTGTGGAGGTGGTCCAAGCTTGGGAGCTTCCAGCGGTTCTTTAAAAGGAGACTTGTTTTCAGTTGGACTTGACGGGTCAGATTTCTTTGGAGGTGGAGGTCTTCTTGGAGCCATGGCCGGCGGTCTTTGCGGTGGTTCTTTGTGTGGGGGCACTGCTGGTTTTACGGGGGGGGGTGATCGATCCTGGCTAAGACCATTCATGTGTTTCGGAGGGAGTTTTGGCTCTTCAGAGTGCTTCCCATTATTGAGCATAGGGATGTGGATTGGTGGAGAGCTTTGGGGTAAATTGCTTCTTGGGACAGAGGAATCATTTTGGTGGTTTACTTCAGTGGACGTAGAGCAAATGTCTGCAGGTTTTGATGGCCTTAACTTGCTCCTTAAGTTGGTAATGTCCACTTTATTTTCTGCTGGTGGATCAGGTTTGGCAGCTGGCATGGGTTTTGGTCTGACCAAAGGTTTACCCTTTATTAACGCCGAAGGCCCAGCAACCTCTGGTTTCTCTTCCCGGGTATCCGTCTTAGGTTTTGGAGGCTGTTTGGGTACAGGTTTCAGATTAAACTTCTTCACCTCTTTAGCAGAAATCTTGTGGCCACACTCAAGACCCATTTCATTGCGAAGTGGAAGAGCTTTGCTCTTGTCTTCCTTCCTAATCTCTGGTGGTTTCTCTGGTTTGAAAGGAGCTGATTTTGGAGTAGCAAGAGGCATTATGACTCCGGGAGCTGGTGGCTTTGGAGGCAAAGGCTTGGAATGATCAGATTTTGGCTTCTCTGCAGCGTCCAACTCAAAGCTTTTATTGATAGACTCCCGTCGAGGTGGCAGAGCTGGTTTTTCTTCTGCTGGGGGGGCAGCTGGAGCTGGTGGTAAAGGCCCAGAGAAGGCAGGTGTTGTCTTCCCGGCACTGGATTTCCAGTCCCTTAGCTTGGGGCGGGAATAGGAATCAGAGGCTGCGGTTGGCTCATCTGGTAAAGGTTTAGACCAGGTATCATCAGAAACATTGGCGCCACCATCTTCAAGCCTGAGTTTCTCCATCTCATTGGGCAATGGAGCAAGAAAATTGGGTCGTAAGGCATTACTAGTCTTCTTGTACTTGTCAATAAAAGTGGCAGGGGCCCAGCCCTCTTTATCATCAATCTGGATGTACCACCAACCGCTTGCATTCTTCTCAACCACCTATTAGGAAGAAGGGTTAATAATTCAATACAGTTTAAAGTTAGCAATACCGTAAATTGATTTCAAAACACTCACCTCAACTTTGACCCCTGCTTGGAAGCTAATCCCATCTGGTATGGTGGTCTGAAAGTCAGCTATAGTGTAATACTCTTCCTCGACCTGAGGTGGTACAGGTGGCTTAGGCAAGTTTGTACCACGTGGCTGTGGGGGAAAAAAATGTTTGTCAAATACATTCAACAAAGTTTTTTTAGCCTATGACTCATCGTCTGAAACATAAACTCATCTTGGTGTTACATCTTACAATGGTTAGATCTCTGCGTGGAGGAAGTCCGTGTCTTGATCCTACTTCTGTCAAAGTAAAAATACATGTAAGACAGGTAAACTGGTAAACTGCAATAAAATCTACATTTCCATTTCTCTTTTTAAAAAATGTTTTTGCTTTAAATACAAAAACCTGTATCAGTTAATGCAAGCTGTTAAACATAGTGCCTGGTTTTTCATTTGTTTGGAGGACAATGAGATGTTTGTCAATATCACCAAGTCTATTACAGCAATTCAATTAGCATGTCTGCAACCAATACAGTGTGATATTGTACATTGAACACAATGATGAACATCAATATCAACTTGCGGAAAATTTAATAAAAATAAAAGTGGATCATCCATTTACATTCTGACATTGTACAGATGGGGCTAGCTTATCCTTCAGATGACACTGTCAATAGAAAATCACATTTTACATTGATGTGAAACTGTTTTCAATAGTAAATTATTTAGATTGATTCATTATTAAACAAGTGTAACAATGCAGAACTTAATCTTCTAACCCAGTGTTTCCCAACCTTTTTTGACTTGTGTACCCCTTTAGGCATTTTGTCTTACAATTAGTATCCCTCTCAGTCAAAAGCATTGAAGGTTGTCCAAAAGTGAAAAGCACAATAACTTATTATAAACCAAAAACTATTTTTCTAAATCTTTTAATTTGAGCATTTTATTATTCCCATCTCAAATAAGAAAAAAACAAAAACAACATAAGTATGTTGGCTGAAATTTAGTAAGGAATTAAATAATTTCATAAACTTGTATTTATAAAACTGGAGCTCTTCTGTGTAACTCTCTTATAATAGCATTTAAACTTGATGAACTTGATGAATACTGGAAAAAAAACTATAGTCAGACTGACTTAATAAGTTGTACTTTTCTTTTTCATCAAGGAAAAGAAAGCTGCTTTGATGATAGCCGAAAGATCAATGCGAAGAATAGGTGATCCTAGGCTGTTTTCATGTGTGTCACAGCTGAAGGTGAACTCAAACATATAATAAAAACATACTTTTTGGTTGATAAAAGTTTCCAATTGGGTCCTCACAAAGCAAAACAGATCCCAGCCCCATTTTATTTTTACTACATAAGAAATAAAATATTTTCATGTACCCCTTGCAATGCTCTCGCTAACCACTAGGTGTACGCGTACCCCTGGTTGGGAATCAATGCTCTAACCGGCAAATTGCAAGATCCTCACTCAGATTCCCTACTGATGGTTTTTAGAAGCCCTTGTGGCGCCTGTGTACTGCTTCTTTGCCTCTGTCACTGAGCCCCAGAGCAACTGTGGCTACAATTTAGCTTACCCCCATCAGTGTAAAAATGCTTGAATGTACAATAAAATGCTTTTTAGAGTCTTGGTCTTGATAAAGCACCATACAGTAAAAGCCATTTACATTTCATTTATGCCCAAACTAAATACTGTAGGATGATTTTAAACTACTTACTAATTTTGTTGTTATCAGAGAAAATCGAGAGCCTGTTTTCCTTCTGGTTCTCTCTGTTGTCTCTTGCTGCATTGTTCTGCAGGTTCTGTTTGGAAACACCTTCCAGGTCATTGGTGCTGGCATGAGAGGCAGCACCAGCCAACTGTCTTTGAATGTCTGATTTCTTCAAGTAGGAAGCTGGTGCCCAGCCCTCTCTGCCCTGGTACCTGGATAGAGGAAGATTTAGATTAGGGGCCGTTAAATGATATGCACCACATACAAAACATAACAATATGAAGATACATCAGCTGTTAAGCTATAGAAGAGTGAGCCCAAGAGGATTACTATATGGATCTTAACACAAACATTTCTCTATATTTTTTTGTTTTAGAGTTTCAGCAATGATGATTTATAGATCTAATTTTAATTACCACAAAAGTCAGTCATTTTTTTATTGAATGCTGATGTATTCTTTTGGAGCTGAACCATTATATCCATGGCCCTGTGGGCTTTATCTTTATGGTCAAATAGTGAATTGATTGTTCATAATTTATTCAATCATTAATAGATGCATGGAAATTATATTATTTTTTTTTACATTCAATAAGGTTTGTAAGAATACATAATTTTGTATGTTATTACTTTGTGATCCTTCATTCTAATTGCTTTAAAGTACAATTCTGGACCATTATGTGTGAAATTATAATGTTGATTTTTTTTTTTTTTTTTGGTATCTCTGCTTATGTCTCCTTGAACCCCAGTCGGCCTCAGCAGATCGGCCTGGTTCTGCTGGAGGTTTCTTCCTGTTAAAAGGGAGTTTTTCCTCTCCACTGTCGCTACAACCATACTTAGTGTCAGGGATTGCATTCCAGTCAATGAGTCGTTGAAATCAACTGGTTTTCCTTAGATAGAAAACTTTGAATCAATTTGACTGTATGATCTGGTGAACTGTAAAGTTGAGATGACATGTGCTATGAATTGGCGCTTTACAAAAAAACTAAATTGATTTGAAGGAATTTCCTTACCTGATCTTCCACCAGCCTTCCAGGTTCCTCTGAATAACCTCCACGATCATGCCTCTCTCTAGGTCAATCTCATCCTGGTCCCTGGCCGAGTACGGGTAAATCACAGAGTATTTTTCTTCTGTGGTTGGAATAAAAGCACATTTCATTACATGTAAGGCCACAATATCTGTTGTGGACTCAACAGATCAAGTAAAAAAAAAATTAAATAAAATGTCTTAGTTAAAAGTCTGGGAGGCGAACCACTCACTTATACCTGAATAACATTAACAAAGATTTCCAAAGCAAAAAGGCTGATCTTGCCGACTGGACTGCTGTTCTGAATTGAGGATTAATTCTTTAAAAAGCCGACAATTTAATCAAAAATGATTAAAGATCCCGTTGTTGAAACCACTGTTTGTTAAGATTTAGTATTTTCTACAGGACTGGATTTATTTAATGAGAAAGGTATGAGGAGCATCTTAAAAACAGAACAAAAGAGACTAAAATGCACAACACACAAAACAGATATTCCATAAATACTAATTCACAAGACAAACTGCAGAAAAACAATTACTTCAACTATTAGTATATTCAAACGACAGCTTATACTTGGTAATTTGTTAATTTAAAGTACTTTCCTAAATATAAATCTTAAATATGAACTACATGACAGCTTTTAAAACACATATAAAAAACAATCACCATGCATAGAATGAATTTGCATGCTAGCATCACCCATGCAACACGCATCCACGTAACCATCATGCTTAAGCAGGCATGAGCATAAACGCACACAAATACAAACACATAAACAGTTAGTATTAAGGTTGGGGATTTGAAACAAAGGCGTGCGCTCCACCTTGCCCAAAGCCTGTGCTGAATAGATCCCCTAAAGTTCTGCGCCGACCCACATGCCTTGGCAGTGACCAGAATCTCCGAGGCACTGACATCCCAGCATGGTAAGCGGGCGAAATAGGAAGTGAACATTATGATCTAGCATCTGGGTGACTGTTACATTTTAAATAGAAATCATTAGTAGTGATTAATCTAAAGGCTAAAATCTTTTTTGTTTTACCAATTTTTCTGACAAACACATCGTTTGTTGTATACTAAATTATATGCCCATTTAACATTTTTTTCCTTACAACAAAGTTTCCTTAACCCAAAGATCTGTCATCAGCTGATCAATGTTTTGCCATCTTTAGGTGACATCAACTACTATAAGTATAGTAAGCACTATACAGTAAAGTAACAAAAAAATAAAAAACTCCGAAATGAATCAGTTTGGAAATCATTTCCAGGCTGATTCATTTGGCTGAAGGTAGCAGATGAAATTAGGTTCAGAAGTGAACTGTTATGTACCTTCTTCCCCTGGAAGTGTGAAGTCGTCCGGGTCGTCTTGTGCCTCCAGGCAGGTGGCAGGGACCCAGCCCTGCGCATCATCTGAGCTCACAAACCACCAGCCTGAATGAGCAGAAAGAAAAACAAACATCCAAGTTATTTTCCAATGAATTGCTACTCTTGAACGACAATAAATGAACCAACAACCCTGGAGCAATCAGACAGGCAGCTAAGATGCTGTGAGATGTGTGTAGCACTTGCCGGATTCATTTTTCTCTATGACCTCCACCACCTGACCAACAAGCAGGCTGATTTCGCTGCCCTCCTGCTTCTCATAATTTGTTACTGCCACGTACTGTTCCAGGAAGAGGGGGTCTGCAGAGGTAGGATCTCCTGTTGAATAAGTGGAAATTAATAAGTTTGTCTGATTCCTTCTAATATTTGCTGCTTTTATGAAAAAGCTCCAAATTAAGCTCTAAATGAAATCTGAGCACCTGAAGAAAGCCTTCGCTCAAGTTCTCCTGTTTGTTTTAAATCTCCAATAAAGTCAGCGACTATTATATTAAGGAAAAGCCAAGAGAAACTATCAAGACAAAATTGGATCTCATTGCTTCTGAGTAATTTACGTTTAAAAATCTGTATTGAGTTAATTAGTTTGATAATAAAAAGACAAATTTAATGAAAGGTGATACAAGTACAAAATCTTCTCAGGTGAAATGAGCAAAGGCTTATCCATGGTATGGAAACCCCAAATTGTTAGGCAGACAAAGTAGATTTGAAGGAAGGAGTGAGAGAAAGACTGAGGTAACAGTAGGAGGGATATATGGAGGAGGACGATGTGATTTGAGACAGTGTAGAGGGTTAATTCAATTATTTCTATGGATGTGATTTCAATTAAGACAACCAAACAAAAACAAGACCCACCACCAACTTTAGCAACATTTCATCAGAAATATCCAAATCCTCAAGATCATGGTCGCAGCATAACTTAAATACGATTTAATATTAAAAAAACGTTACCTTGTCAGTCTGAAATTCAAATATCTATCTACTAATTGTCTTTACGGCAAATCTGATAATTGGCAACCTAGTTTAATTTGTGAAAATAGCTTAATGTTGGGGACAAATTAAAAGCTAAATGTTAACATGAAAACTATAAAAAAAAACAAAGAAGTTTATTTAATAATTGACTGATAACAACAGAATTCAGTTGCAGGTTTCCATAAAAGGCACCTATTTATGAAATCAACTTTTTTTATTTTATTTTTATTTTCTTTTAAATGAGAAGGCATATATCAACAAATACCAGCATTGAACACTACCAGCTATAAAACTGCTAAAAAATGGCCACATGCCAGCAAAATAATTCCTATGTGATGCCATAAAGATTCCAGGAGTGATAAGACTTTTTTTATTTTTATGAAAAAATATATATGAAAAAAAATATATATCAATAATATGCACTATTCATTTTCTATGAATTTTATTCTACCATTAAAATCTGTTTTGGACCAATGCCTACATTTAGTTCTCTAAAGTTCCTCTAAAGATTCCCTGTTTGTAGATATTTTCTTGGAAACCCATTTTGCAGAACTTCAATTTGAACTAAGCGAAGCATCAATATTCACCTGACACATCTAGAATATATTATGATGCATAATTATTCTTAAACATTTAAATTAGCCAAACTATAGTCCGTTGTTTTAAATATTAAAATAATAATTAAAAAAAAATCACCAAACATAAATATATGTTTTTTCAGACACAAAATGAGCCCCAAAACCCTAGCAGAGCCACATCCCACCTGCCCAGGGCTGGGAGGGAGAGGGGCAACACACCACAAGCAACCCACCGGGTTACACACACAGCACGGCAAAGCATGACAGTGTGTTTACTACCTCGCTTTAGGAAAGTAGTCGCTCTCTCCACAAACCCTGATGAAAAGGAAAATGAACGGAGAAGAAAACTGAAAAAAATAACATGGATGCAACTTAAGAACAGCAGGTCATTCGAAAGGATACAAAGAAAGGTAGAGGGAAAAAAAGCATTTAAAGTACTTGTTTTATACTCTTGTGAGGTCAAATTTAGAAAAAACATTCGTGCAAATAGAATAGATGTCATGGAATCATTACTCCAGGGACGGAAAATATCCCCAAGCCTTTACTGAAGTATGAAATTACGCCACTAGATGGTGCTAAAGTCACATTTTATTAATATTAATATAATATTTATGGCAAAATGTTTTGTTTTTTTGTTTACTTGTAATTATAAGAAGAATTAATAATAATAATAATAATAATAAATGTAAGATATCAATCCAAATGATAATTCCCTAAAGTTCTCTTACCTGACTTCTTCTTTCCAATGGGCTCCCTGTTAAAGAGAGACAATGCAATCATTAAGAAAAATAGGAAATCAGTTTGGATCAGAGGATTACGATCCATTTGCATCTACAACCTGCGCCGACATGTTTAAAGATGCTCTTAAAAGAGCCAGTATAATATTTGGTTGGATGATAAATCCAGGACAGGAACTGCTGTGTCTGGTTTAGAAATAAGCAAGGCAAACAGGCATCACTCCACAGTTCGTTCCCAGAGCAGATGCATGGAAATAAAACTCTTGGCTAATTCCCTTTAGTCCTGCTTGGTTTTACTCTTAATCTTTTCCTCTTACTGACTAAATACAAATAAGCACTGTTAGAATGCAGACCACCACAAAACAGCTAAATTCCTTGGAATCTAAAAATAAATCCTTAATTCAGATTGCAATCTGGAATAAAAAAACAAGATTCAATAGGTTCTAAGTTAGGCTAAGATAAACCCTCTGGTAAAAACCTCAGAGCAATCAGCTTTATCCATACTCCTATAAACCAACAAACAAATTAATCAACCATCAATCAAAGCAATAATCCTGAAAACATTAGCTCCATGTTCGAGGTAATAAAACAGACTAGAATCATGTTATACTCTAGGCATAGTGAGGAAACCTTTAACAGCAATCAGCTGAAGTTAGAGAATCAGCTCTTTTATTCCTATCACTGAGGACTGGGCAGTACTGCACAGAAAACAGCCGATGGACCATCTTTCAGCTTCAGTTTCCGAGGGGATCATGTTTATCAGCATCATTTAATCAGTAGCTGTGGAATGGTTGAAAATGAAAGCAAAAATAATCATAGTATTAAAATGTATTCATTTTCTTCAAATATTAAAAATCTTAACGTGGTTCATTCTCCAGCTCCTTCTGAGGGATCCCTCCTCTGTCTTTCACCAGTGAGACATCCCAAAAAGCCTCCTGACTAAAGCATTCCAGAAGTGTCCCAATCAGATGCCCAAACCACCACAACTATCCTTTGGATTATGAGCAGCAGGGCCCCTACACCAACCCCCACCCTCTGGATGAGAGTGAGATTCTAATATTATTATTGATGTAAGGCAAGCTGCAACATCGGTCCTCTTATGTGGAAATAAAAGCCAGTGAAAACAAACGTCAGGACAATATTAAAGGCTGCACAACAAAGCAGTTATCTAAGACCTTTTGCCTGATCCTCAGGCATCAAGGCAAAGACATGGGGCAGCAGGTTTTTCTCCCCACATCAGGTCAGTTAAGTTATTTCAAGACAGCAATAGAAAAATCAACAATAACTACCACGCTTTCTAAAGTCTTGTGCTCTGAGTGATGCCTTTTACAAAAGGCAGGTTGTAAATATAGTACATAAAGAGAGGAGGGTGAAAAGCATGTTTTTAATCATACATATAATCAGGCCGCGTATCAATATTTAAAGCCCATGCCAGTATGGTGTCTATAATCGTTTATTAACACATGTTAGTGATTAATTAAGTAATGCAAGCTTTTTCCAAAAAATATATATAAGCAAACAAAGCTACAGTATTATTTAAAAAGCAAAGTTTTTTTTTGGTTAAAGGAGAGGAGAGTAGGTTTTGTTGATATCTAATGTATTGAGCTGCTCATGCTGTCAGCGGCACGCTTTTCTTTATCTTTTATGTTTTCCAAGACTTCTTTTCAGTTTGGAAAAACAAATGAGTTGTGTTCCATCCTCTAAAAGCAATGGCTAATGTGTCCCTAAGATTACATGTTTCAAATTAATAACATTTAGCTTTTTATCAAATGTTTTTTTAAAACAAAGTTCCAATGTCTACAATGCCTTCTAATGAAAAATTCTAGTAATGTTGTCGCAGTGCATAATTTTTTTTTTTTTTTACAAACTTTATTTACAAATAAAGAATATACAATTGCAGACAGTAGTATGCTCGAGGTACTGGGGTAACAGAACTACAGGATTCCATGAAACAGAAAAAAAATAGATTACAAATTAAGTTCACCACTTAGGGTTATAAGTTTCATAGCTTTAGAGTTGGTGCATATTTTTAAGGAGTCCAAAAGACAACTTATATAAGCTCTAAAAACAGTGAGGTTGGGTTTGTTTTTAGCAAATTTACAAACATGTATGTGGAACTTGGCTAACAGAATAAGAACATTTATAATATATTCTTTCCCAGACATACTGCCCTTGGAAATACCAAACAGAACATGTTTAACATTCAGCGCAATAAGTATATTGCATTTCCCCTTAACAAAATTATTGAAGTTACACCAGTTGCAGTGCATAAGCTCCTGCAGGTGAGGGCAGTGTCACTGCAGGACAAATCGAGACTTTTGATTGGTCAGTTTCATCCAGCCAAACTTCTCTGACTCTGAAAGCAAGCCACAATACAAAACTAACAGTCAACCTTTTTACCAGTTTATAACCATAGCTTGAAACTGGATTAGTGTCTCCATTTCATTCTGTCTTAAAGATGGCAATACAACCATATCATCTGCAAAGGCAAAGTCAAGACCCAGAGGTTCCCAGATACCCACAACAGAATCAGAGGAATGACGAGGCCATAATGCAGCATAAAAAGCAATAGGATCACTAATAATGACCATTTTAATGTTGGGGGGAGATTTTCTGTATCTAGTATGTTAACTGGATTCGATTGGCAGTCTTCTTATAGGAACCTTTAAAAAAATTACTGTGTCTGTAACAGTTGTCCAAAACTTTCCACTGTCTGCCTGACTGCCATGTCAGTAGTCTTTTCTATGACTGCGTTATTCATTACATGCTCATAAAATGAAAGTAAGTTGTGATCATTTTCTTTTCCTGTGACGTTAAATTTTCAGAAGAAAGATTCTTTGTTCATTTCTAAAAATAATAGCAGTCAGCCCTTGAGATATACCAAGCTGTTTCATATATCCATGTTGCATTGAATATATATTTTCAGAGTTAAATTACTGAAATAGATTTCTGGTCTAACTAACTGTGATACATCGGTTAATGAGCTTTAATTGTATGATCAGTCTTAATTCTATCTAATCAACCAGAGTTTTTTTTTTCCCCCTTCCTTCAGTCCCCCAAAGCATCAACTGTTCCTTCCATAGTCTCACTTTCAATTCAACACGTCCTTTTCTGTTCCAACTTCTCTTTTTTTCAGTGATCTGTTCTGGCATCACAAGCATCTGCTTCCCCTTTCCAGCTGAGTTCTCCTGTTTATCTCCTCCCTCTTGCTCTTAAGGGAGAAGTCTTGCTTGTCATGTCTTACAACACTCAATTTATATGCCATGATAAATCTTCTCCTGGCCACTGTCTGCGCCCCAGCCTTCTTGTCAGAAGGCCAGACAATAGAGTGCACTAATAGAGGGCTTTAATCCAATTTCATTTCAGACACACCAATGCCTTTTGAATATTTGTCTCCCTTTAGTGAGTGCTCTCTGTATTTCATGCTTATCCATAGAAATACTTGGGGATTTGCACAAAGAGAAAGAAGAAACATTTGTTTTAGCAGGTCCTTAGAAAGAATGTGAAATAAGAAAAGAATGACAATTATGAGAGATGTGTGAAACACACAAATCAAAATCCAGCTGGCAAGTTTTTGATTGATTCATATTCACAATCTATGTTCGATTTAAGTCATGAAATTGTTCAAGTATACCCTCAACTTTAGGTTCTGGGAACAACAATTTCATTGACATTAATATGTTAAGTCTTATTAAGCCAGCAAGACACTGATGGCTGCTACTTGTTTTATTAGAAGTCAAGCTCTTCATCTTGATCTTTCGATTAAAAAAAAGCAGAAGCAAACCTCCAAGTATAAATGAAAACATGACGGGTTGTTATGGATTTATATTTAGCCTTCTTTACCCACAGCAGCTCCAATTGATTGTCCTTAGTTAACACCCCCCAACTGCTCATTCTATTTCAGTCACTTTATTGTAAATATTCAGATCCAAATCATTAATTAAAAACTGAGCAGCTTTAGACCTGATAGTTTACTTCAATTTTAGGATATTTTACCATTAATCTTAAAAGATAAACATGGAGAAATAAAGCAGACGCACATGAACCAGGATGCAATTTAACTCATACTGAGTTTATTCCAAAAAAGTTTAAAAAAACAAACCACTGGACTTTGTTTTCCAAGTTTGAAGACTAGGAAGACGCTTCCCATCAAAGAAGCTTTCTCAATTCAAAATGTCTGGAGTAGCGTTGAGTTCCAGGTTTATAGAGTGACACAAACAAAGCTTAGAAAACATGCAAATTGAACCAAAAAAATAGGTCCAACCCTTAGTAATGGGGAGTCATTGAGGTCATTGTTGGCCTGCAAAACCCAAAACTGGCCCATGCATCTGTAAACGGGAGTTGTTTGCTCTAATATGTTAGATCACATCAGACCACAACAGTTTAAGAACATATATTGTAAACTGGGAACTTTTAAACCCTGCAGTTTGGTCGTATAGTTTGAGCTCTAGCTGAGTACAACAACTGAAAATATTGTGGATGCCCGGCTTAAGATACAGCTTTTATTCATTAACTGAATGGCATCAACCCTATGGAATGCCTCTGCATACTATCAGATCCATTTTTATTTAATGAGCTTATTTATATATTCATTATTTGGGGGGGATATTTATTTTTAATGCTTGAATACAGATAAATTATTAAAGCAACCCTATGATAAAAAAACTAAGGACTTATATATTGCTAAATGAAATGAGCTAGCTTTTTTTTTTATATGTACATTTATCTTTTATAAGCTTTATAGATTTGGATCAATTGATTTTATGGATAAATAAATGCTCCAAGAAATTTAGTTAAAAAGTCCTGTAGCAAACCTGCTGGGTGAAATAACTTCTTTATGCTCTAGCATACTGCTCACAGTTACATTGCTATCAGTTAGTTACAAGCAAGAAGGTTCTGCAGGGTCTTTCTGCATGGAGGTTGCATATTCTCCCTGTGCATGCATTGGTTCTCTCCGGATACTCCGGCTTCCTGCCACAGTCCAAAAACATGACTGTCAGGTTAATTGTCTTCTCTATATTGTGTGAGTGTGTATGTGCATGGTTGTGTATTTCTGTGTTGCCCTGCGACAGACTGGCAACCTGTCTAGGGTGTACCTCTCATTTCACCCATACACTGCCGCAGATAGGCACCGGCCCCACCGCGACCCTGACAGAACTACCCGAGAGAAAATGGATGGATTGATGGAAGTTAGATAATAGTTAACAGGTTTCATGCAATAAACACACAGAAGCCTCGTGTCTACCACTGCTGTACCTTTAAAACATAATGAAAAGGTAATACTGTGCAAATAGTGCCTGTAGGGAAAAATATTACGTGTTGCGTTCCTGCAGTGAAAATAAAATCTGAAAGCACTGAAAGTAAAAGGTAATGTTGAAGTTAGAGTATGATCTAAACTACAGAGCAATAAACTTCCCCAATTTGTGTCTGATTTTACTTCAGCTCCAACATCCATGCTGTTAGTCACAAAGCTAATTATAATAACTATAAATATACTCTTTTTTTTGCTCACTGGGACAACTTCTACACCACACATTAATGTGTGTTGACAAAGGTTAAACCTTACAACCTAGCTGACAACTGTTGATGGGGAGAGACATAGCCCATGGGCTAAAATGTGAACTTGACCTCTAATGCCCTGTAGTTACTCACAACCTTAATTACTCATTCAAAGCCAAATGGTGTGTTGGCTGCTGGTGTTTTGAGCCAAAGTCCTTTATTCGTGTGTAAATTTGCTGTCACTGCTGAATATGACTAAGATGTTGAGCTTGCTTTTGAGAGACAAAACAAAAATAAAACCCAAAGGAAGAGGCTGTCTGCAGGCTCAGCTGTACAGTTCCGGAGCTGCAGCTACATGCTAAAGTGCAAACTCAGCACTTCAAAGGATGACTAAATGTGCCTCAACAGGAAAACAAAAATCCAACAGGAAGCGGTGCAACATTATAAAATCACATTCATTAGAGAGTGTGTAATGAATGCTTATTATCAGCAAAATGGGCTATAAATGCTCACAAGATATAGCCTGAGATACAGAAACAATAATTTTCCATTGTGCAGATGGGAAATCTGAGCTCATGTCTGAGTTTGTGTAAGCTACTTACTCCTTGGGTGGATTGAGGTCTTCAGGTCTGGTCTCAAAAAACACTCTGACTTCCTCGCACTGGGAAATGTAGACTGGCAGCTGGATCAAAGCCTGCAGGCAGGAAAATAAGATAAAGACATCAAATATGGAGTTTTGCTTTCTGGGGAAGGCAGTTACATCCGATTTAAACAGCTAAACTGCAATAGATTTAAACCAGAAAATATCTATCAAACTCACAATTTCCTAAAAAAGTGTTCGGTAGCAATGTAAAATGGCTGGAATCAGCTGCAGTGTTGGCAGTTTTCTTTCTCATCTTTCACACCATCGACTATTGATACTGCATTACTTAATTGCAGCCACAAAAAAACAATATAAAAGTGCAAGGGGCTTCCAAACTGCTAATTTATCTGAATAAACTCATGACAGAAACTGGTTAATGCTTTGTTTTAATCCTAGATAATAACAAATGTCACATCAGTTGTTCAAGTTTAACCTTAAAAAAATAGTTCAGAATTTTCCAAGTCAGGTTTTTTTTGATGTTATTATGGACAACAGCTTTTTTTCTTATTAAAAACACAATTTGGCAGTGACAGAGAGAAAGGCTAGTGATTCTAATAAATCACTTTTAGATCTAGCAGATCAAGTGAACACTATTTTATGAGCCTTTAAACCATTTACAGTTGATGTTGGAGTCGGTAAAGCACTAATTAGTTTCCTTTGTAAAACATATATGGACATCCAAGCATGTAGAGTCGTTCTGCTCAGAATAACTATATAATTAACTATTTGTGATTACCTCACTTTTTATTTAGACAATAATTGCCATTAAAACATGTTGTATGTTCTGTTTTAAGTATCGATACGTAGCATTGAGCAGTGTAAAACAGAAAGTAAGCTTTGTTGTAAATAGAGACTAAAGCAAACACTAGGATGGGTTTAATGATTATAAAATTAACATTCCAATAAGCTCCTAGGTAATTTTTGAGACTGCAGTTATTTTAAGATGGGAGACCAATTAGGTGTAAGCTTTGTGAAGACTAGCCACAATCTTCAACATCCAGGAAAGGATTTAGACTAAATCAAGGTGCTATGGGTATTACCTAATACAGGCTAAATATTAAAGAGCACTTTGCTAAACCATCTGTTTAAAATTATAATAATATTTTCTTTTCCCTTCTGGTTAGCAGCCCAGTTGGAATCTGTATTTTTCATGTTTTGTTTTTGCATTCATTCACTTTTTAAGCAAATCTTATTACAAGAGACTGCGTTAATATAATAGGCAATCCAACAGCTTTCTGTACAGTGTTTCTTAATCATTCCTTCCTTTAGTTTAGATCTCTGTTTATTGATTAATCCTCCCACATCCAGCACATCTGTGAAGGATCTCGAACAGCCGACCAATTAGCCCTGACAACGCAGTTTTAGATGAGAAACAAACAGTCTCATTTAGCAATCTATTTACTGCTATGTTCCATCTGCTTTTAACTCTATCAACATGTAACCGTTTGCTTTTTCACTTAGTGATGTGCTATAAGAAGCAGATAAACACGTCAACAGCATAATGATGAAGAGAGAAAACCTTTTCTCTGATACCAGTAGTTGACCAGATGAGAACCATCTTTGATTTCAAATAAAACGAGGCTAAAATCCAAATGCAAGCGAGCCAAAGCTCAGTGCTATCCATCAAGCTTCCCCTGCTGCTATCCACGTCTGATTTTAATACTCCTAAGTGTTTCAGTTTTGTCCTTCAGAGGAGTCAACCTCTAACAACGGCTGTCACCCACTGACGTAAAATCATGGCTGATAGAAAATGAAAGCTGAAGACCCGACATGACTGTCCTTGTCGCATCTGCTGCATTCGACTCATCCCATTTTAAATGCACTAGTTTGGCTCGGACTCATTCCTACCACTGACTGGGCACTTTTTCGACATTCCAAAAATAGAAGAGTGCTTATGAGTACATAAAAGACTTTCTATTTTGTTGCATTGTACATGTAAGACCAGACCTAACAGCTATGGTTGTATCTGGAATCACTGGCTAGGTGGCTTATTTCAGATGTGCAAGTGGTTTTCACCAGGGAGCACTATAACAGGTCCAGCAAGCATTTGCTTCACCTCAGGTCAGAGTGCATCATGAGCCAGTTATCCTCTCTTTGGATGTATTTATCTCCTCCAGTCAGCCTATGGCGGTTCCACTCATTACGATTCTCCCCGGGGAGGAGACAGGAGGGAGGCTTGGGGTAAATTACATTAAATGGACTTTATGGCTGTTTTTTGCAGAGGGGCGCATTAAGGTAATTGTGAGTGCTCACATCTGTGCATGTGGATAGGGCAGTGAGCATGTGTGTATTCTCCAAGGAAAAATATAATGGAATTGAGAGATTTCCTCCATAAGGAACAGCACCATGTGATTGTATGGCTGCATGGTATCTTTTTACAAGAAACATAAACCGTGGTTTTATTTTAGTCACCATCTATTGCAACTAAAAACCGGGATTTTGTAAAGTTCCTTGTAAAGGTATCTAAACCACTTAGCTTGTGTCATTTTGTCAGATTGTTAAACAATATTCATCTAGGCCTTTGCTACTTAATGTGATAAATCAACATAAAGCAGCCAGCGATAATGTAGGGATTATGAGAGAAGCTGCTAAGTGGCCTATGGTAACTTTAAAAAGAGCTCCAGATTAACATTTCAGGTGGGAATATTTGTCCACATGAAAACTATTAATCATGCACTCCACATATCTGGCCTTTGTGGAGTAGTGACTTATAATTAAAATAAAGCCTTGAATACTTTATTAAATTTAAAGGTTCCAAATAGCCACATGCAATCAAGTACGGTAATCAACTTAAGATCAAATGTCAAATAATGGTTAGATTAAAATTTCTTCCAACCGATTATCTGATTACATCTGCTTAGCCCATCATGTTACTGAAAGATCCTATTGAGGTGAGAAAAAAAAACCTTTGGATTTTTATGAAAATGGCTACTTATCAATTTAATGTTAGTCAATTGATATGATCAATGAGCTTTACATTAACTTGTACATCAATAACTTGCATCCGTAATAACAAAGCAAACACTTGGAAGGAGGGCATCTTGTCAAATGAGAAAATTTGAAACTTGTCATGTGGGGAAGAAAGATAATACATGAAACAAAAACAAAAAACATCAGCATCATGCTGTGGGGAAGCAATTTTAAGCTAAGAGGGTAGGCTACATACAACTTAGGTTAGGGGGGTTGAAGAGGCCCATATCCGCTGACTCGACTGGACCGCCTTCCCATGGCGGAAGCACGGGGCCACCACCATCACCGGGTCGGGTTCGGTCGCTCCGCCCCTCGCAGGCTTCCTGTTTTGACTACGTGCTGCACTGTAGTCGACCAAAATCCGGACAATTTTGAAATCCCCCGGACATTTTTTTAGGCATGTAAAGTAGGATGTGTCGGGGAAAAGGAGGACATCTGGTCACCCTACCATATCAACAATTTGATGTTTCAGTGAGTGCTCGTTGCTATGATGCATCTTTGCTCAGCAGCTTCCCTTGTTGTAAACCAACCAATCAGCGCACGGCTCATCTAAATATTCATGAGCATACCATAAAATGCTCATGAATGGGGTGCAAAGAAGAGGTGTCCTGGTCTGATTTTAACATCGGCCCAATATAAGCCAAAAAGTAATATCAGATTATATTGGCTGGCATCTCTAATCTCTGATATATTCATGCTGAAAGAAACTGTGCTTCTGCTGAAAGTTTCTGTAATTCATAGGTTCATTTTACATGGGTCAGTTGTTCTCATACCTACTGTTGTTGACTACTGTTTTAGCAAAATAACTTGATAAAGCCTTTTAACATTCTACAGTAGAAAACTATGTCATAAAAGTGTGTATGAATCATGCTAATATTGTATCGGGTCAATATCGGCATCAGTGAATTATCAAAGCTACAATATCCATATCAGAAATGAAAAAGTTTTATCGGCACACCTGTTGCCCAGAATAATTTCTTTTTTAAATTTGTTGACAGTAATGTTGAATCGTAGCCTGGCCAGCCAGACTGATATGGTGTATTATTCTGATAAAGAGCTGGTACAAATCTCTTTCAAAGGCGGGACTAAAAGGGGCAGCCTAACCAAGTTAGAAGATCAGATTAATACAATGTGATGCAAAAACTCAAATTGACAAGCTCTGTTTTTGTAGATTTGTAGTCCTTGAAACATTTCAAGGTGTCAAAACAACTCTCCAATTTTGCCTAGTATAACCTATGCTCTCTTGCACGTTCTTAAAGGTATAGTGGAGGATGTTCTTTTTCCAGGTGGATCATTAAAATAAGAGGTCCTCCTAATTGTCAATCATTCAGGTGTTATGTTTACGTAAGGCCGTCATACGTGCTCGTCCCAAATTTCACTTACTGGTGGTGAGTCTGACACAGTGAAAAAATTGTAAATCTTCTTGTAGAAAGTAAGCTTATAAGAGCGATGAAAACAGCAACTTTTAAACGGAGCGTGCACAATGACAAATGGGCTCATGCAATGCTCTCGAATGCGTTTTATAGGCGTTCCTTCTCGGGAGCGGGAACAAGGTTGTGCATGTGCATTTTTTTAATTAAAAGTGGAGAGGGCGGGTCTTTTCAAAAATTAGCGAAAATCCTCCACTATATCTTTCATTTTCGTTGCATAATTACTCCTTTGCAATCGACAGCTTGTTGTTATTTTAGCAGGAAAGCATTGCTGCATTATGGTAATTCTGGCGCTGAGAGTCACACGTCGTAAAGTCCCTCCTGCTGTGCTGTGATTGGTCTGGCAAGATCTGGCTTGAGTCAATGGCAGTTTACCAGACTGAATTACACTCTGTCTGGCTGGCCAGGGTAGTTGAATCATTTCACATTTTAAAAGAAACAGTCAAATGATCAGAACTAATGCATTCTCACAGTGCTTGGTCTATTTTTCAGACAACTGACAAAGTCTTTAGTCTCTTCAAGTGGAAAGATGCCTGTTTGACTTACAGCTCAAACTGCAGTACAGAAAGGTTTTACAGTATTTTGACTCAGGGCCTGAATACAAATGCATGCCACATTTTACTTCTTGAAATGGAAAATTATCTATAGTTATCTTTCAATCTTAGAATTATGCATTATTTTGTGTGCTGCTATGGCAGATTCAATGAAATGTAAATATTGTCTGAAGAAAGTGGAAAAGTCAAATATTTGAAATAGCTTACCTTTGAAAGGGAGTCTATATTGTTTAAAAACAACTCGAGCTAAAATGTTGATGCATGTATTTTTCTACCCAAACTGTTGAAAACTGCAGTTTTCCAAAGGACTTTGCAACTCAACAAATGATTTTAGACAAAACTATCCCCAGCGTCCATGTTTTGTTTTTTTTTCCCCTCGTTGTTTCATCCATAAGAGTTTTTTGACCTGAATAAAAACAAAACTGCCAAACCAGGGAAATTCCAGGATGGAGTCAGGGTGAAGTCTCAGCTGTAAAACACAGAAGCTGACTCAGCTATTTCAAGAAAAAGCTTGAGCTTTACCGTGCCAACCTTTAACAATTAAAGCTAAATTCCAAGGAGTTATTTTGTGTTTTTTATTTTAATAAAAGCATAACAGAACATAAAGGTAAAAACACAGACTACATCTTTATATGAAGAAACAAGGAAAAGGTAGAATTGTCTCAGCTACAAAACGTCCCCTGCCAGAGACAGGAACAACAACTTTTAACCAGCAACATTCCTGCTCCAAAACCTTATTTATGTCATAAGTGGTTAAAGATGTAGCCTACACCCACTGTTCATTCCTTCAGCACTGTTTGACTAAGGGGCCCCTCTGGCCTTTGGCATTGTTTATCATACATAAAAAGTATTCACCTTAGGGGCCTTATGAGTCACTTGTTTTGGTCAGGGATAAATTGCATAAAACATACTTTTTTGTCAAAGGAAAACGTCATTTTCAAAAACCAATATAAGTGCAATAAGCACTAAATACAGACTGGTTTTAAGTTTATTTCTTCTTTCTGAAGATTTGTAGCATTGACTGAACAGAATACAGATGAAAAAAAAAAGACTGAGACTGCGGGTTGTGCATTTGCTGAGTGGGACAAGCTCAGCAACAGGATGTTTCTGGTCTTTACCTCAACATTTCACTACACCTGAAAAAGCAAGACTCAAGCTAAATCCTGCAAAAAAAAACATGTCTCACAAAAATTGCCCCGAGTTAAAAAAAAAAAACGAAAAAAAAAAAACATATTTTCTGGTTACCAAATAGCTTTTAACTTTACAAAGAGATAACTTTCTTTTAAAACGGTCAGAAACTAACATAACATTGCATTTTTTTAATGTGTTACACCTATTGTACATATCTATTACCGGCATCAATTATTGATCTATTATCTATTAGCAGCATCAATTATTGATTAGGGGTGAGGATCGGCATGGTTGTTGCGATGCGGTATGTATTACGGTACTTGGATCACGATACGATATTGACAGAATATTGCAATGTTACTATATATTGCAATATTTTTTTCCTTGATCAAAATTAAATGTATACATAAAAAACAAAGTGCTAATGTTTATCAGTTATTTTGGTATCCATGTTGTTTGGGGTGTGAGTCAGTCCACATCTTCCACTGTGACTGCCTCAACTACAGATATGGTGCGGCGCCGCACAGGAAAACGACTCCATAGCGTCATCTGTCAGAGCAGTGGTGCAGAGGTATCCCATTTTTCTTATAGTTTTAGGCAAAAATGTTTTGGTTTAAAAATCGATACTAGAAACTGAAAGATCGATATTATATCGGGCAGCCATAAAATGATGATATATCACCAAAACAATTTTTTCCCCACACCCCTATTATTGATGGTTGGTTATTTCTGCTACAGCGGAGCAAAACAAAAAACTAAGAAAGAAAGAAAGACATTTGATCCTGTTATATCCTGTGAGGCAATTAGTCTTGTTTTGAACCAAGATTAATCATTAATTAACCAAAGAATTATACATTTTTTATTAAACAGTACAGCTTCATTTTGACTAGACATGCACAGATCAAGTTTTTTTTTCCAATCCATTGCAATAACGATTACTGGGCTGAGTTTATCGACCAATATCCAAATCCAATTCAACTGTTGTATGAATGAACCACATATCTTGCCATGTGATTGAAGGCTTTTGACTTGATATAATCATTGTTAAAAAAGGTAATAAATAAAAGAGATATACATTTACTTAATATTATTTATTAACAATGATATCCAGGTATTAGATCGGTGCATAACTAATTTTGACTTGATGAGATTTTGCAGTAAGGATATGGTTTATGTTGTTTTAAAACATTATGTTGTTTATAACATCAAATTACAGCTGCAAATTTAGAATCACAAAACAAACTAGATGTTTTATCCTTTGGATTTTTTCTGAAGACTAATGATTTTTCTTTTTTTATTAACCAAATAGTCTATTTGACACTATTTTCATGTACCTATATGGCATCCATACCAATAAAATAGCGAAAAAATGTAGGCTCTCTGGTAGTGTGCGTTTGCAACATCATGCATATTGCACAGTTTTCTGACTCCTGTCTTTAAACATTGCATTTTATCTAATTACTGTATGGCTCATCACCTATTTGGAATTGCAGTTTTTCTCTTCAGCTTTACAGCTTAAATCAGTTTGCTTTTTTTCCCCTACACTACTTCATCTAGTGTTTATGTGTTTTACCACTGACACACCCAAATATCCTTAGTGTGGGACAATAGAGGTAATTTTAATATTCTATACAAGAGCTGAAACTGTCAAAATCATGTGTTTATTGGAATTACTGAAAATGAGGGTCATTTATCAATTACCATTTGAGGACTTTTAAGGTATTATCTGAAAATTTTTTGGAAATGTAGAAATTTTGTCATCTAAATATGAACTAAATAATGGAAAAATGTTTGTCAATACTGAACACCTCCTATATACGGTCTTATTCTTAATGATTCACAGTAATGGCTGTATAATATCAGAAAAATGTCTGACTGCAACGCTTTTGCTAGATACCATCATGAAAACACCTCATAGTTTTATAAATATTTTCTGACCCATTTCTTACTTATTAAAATAGCATAGCAATTGGCTTCAGCTGTTTTTACCCTTTTTATGATTACTAAAAATAAATATGAAGTATCGGCCTCAAGCTAAGGCAAACTATATCAAACAGGCAAAAAGTATAAGACATATTCAAATTTCCATCCATCCATCCATCCATCCATCCATCCATCCATCCATCCATCCATCCATCCATCCATCCATCCATCCATCCATCCATCCAT